AATACAAGCTCCATGATTTTAGAAACTGTAGAACTCTACAATGTAGAAAGGCTATATAACTTAACCAGACAAAGCACATTCACATGCTTCCTTCTCTGTGGTACATTAATATGGTACCAAGGGCTTCCCCGGTGGTGCAGTGGTTGAGAGTCCGCCTGCCGATGCGGGGGACGCAGGTTCGTGCCCCGGTCCAGGAGAATCCCGCATGCCGCGGAGAGGCCGGTCCCGTGGGCCATGGCCACTGGGCCTGCGCGTCCGGAGCCTGTGCTCTGCAGCGGGAGAGGCCACAACAGTGAGAGGACCGCGTACCGCAAAAAAAAAAAAAAAAAGTAAAAATAGTATGGTACCAAGAACATAAGCACTAAGAGAGAATAAGGGGAAAATCAAAGCCTTATCCCTATTGAATTATTTACATCATTGTTGAGAATATCAGTAAGGGAGGTGTGGCCACACTATGAAGGCAAATTGAGCTGCGGTCACAGAGCTGCCCTAATGCTCCCCCAGTCAGCTAGCGTTGGTTTCCTTTTGATAGCTATGTACACACAAATTTTACACACTTCAGTGAGCTGTCATCACTTTTTGCTATGTACTAGAATCCTGGCAGCTTCTCAGATTTAGAAAAGCATTAACGCTAAAAACAAAAATAACTTGGGTCTGCCCTTTGGGGTGATTCAGGGTGGCTGTTTTATTTGTAATAGTTCAAAATTTTGAGATTGTCACACCTAGCAACTACTATGCTTTTCTCCTCCCAACTGCCTCTTATTCTTCTCAACTGTAGCATTTTCTCCCATTCTGTATGTTTTTTCAGTTGCTTGATAGTGTCCTTTGAAGGCCAAACTTTAATTTTTATAAAATCCAACTCATCTATTTTTCCTTTGGTTGTTTGTACTTCTGGAATCATATCTAAGAAATTATTGTCTAATGCAAGGTCATAAAGATTTACTCCTGTGTTTTCTTCTAAGAGTTTTATAGCCTTTGCTCTTACATTTGGATATTTGATCCATTGGGAGTTCATTTTCATATATGGTGTGAAGTGTAGAAGTTCAGCTTCATTATTTTGTGTGTGGATGTACAGTTGTCCCAGTATCGTTTGAAAAGACTGTTCTTTCCACATTGAATTGTTTTGGCATGCTTGTTGAAAATCAATAGACCATAAATATGAGGGTTCATTTCCATGCTGTCAGTTCTGTTCCACTGATATACATGTCTGTTCTTATTCCAGTACCACACTGTGATTGCAGTAGCTTTGAACGGAGTTTTGAAACCAGGATGTGTGAGTCCTCCCACTTTGTTCTTTACCAACATTGTTTTGGTTATTCTGTTTCCTTGATTGCCATATGAATTTTAGAATTAGCTTGGCAATTTCTGGAAAGATATCAGCTGGGATTTTGATAGGAATTGCAATGGGACCATAAGTCGATTAGGGAATTAGTGACATTTTAATAAGATTATCTTCCAGTCCATGAATCCAGCATGTCTTTATATTTATTTAGATCTTCTTCAATTTCTTTCAACAGTTTTGTACTTTTCAGTGTGAATCTTGCACTTACTTGGTTAAATTTTTCCCTAAGTATTTTATGTCTTTTGATGCTGTTATGCATGGAATTGTTTTCTTAATTTCATGTTTGGATTACTCATTGCTGGTGTGTAGAAATAATATTGATCTTATATCCTACAACCTTGATGAATTCTTTTATTAATGCTAACAGTTATTTTCCTGGATTCCCAGGAATATGTCTTGTGGTCTTCCAGTTTCCCAGGAATACATTGGAACATTTCAAAGTCTCTGTGGACATCTCATTCCTCAGCTTTTCTTTTTAAGCTTTTCGATTGGGCTGTTTATTGCCCCAAACTGTTATCCATTGCCTCATGCAACCGCCATGTTAAAATATTCGCTTGAAAATGTTTTCCAGAAATGCAACCTGAGGAATGGCTTTTCTCACTAGACAGCTCTCAGTCAGGTCAAAGGGCAAGCCTTTCAAGTGATGTCTTCCAGGGGACCACCAGACATGTAAAACAATGACAGTTCTTTGGGAATGAGGCTTTGAAGGCCCTCCCAGTCCATGCTGCTCCTTCTGGTACCAGGGATGTGGGCTGTTTTTCAAGGCTACCACTGGCATGGAGAGCAAAGGTCAAGGACAAGTTCAAGCAACACAGATCTCATTGTTCTTACAGAAATTAATTCGTTTTCCTTGAATAAATTGCTCCCCAATGTGCAGTAATTCTGTTGGTTAAATCTCCAGCGTTCAGAAGAAGTTGATTCTGACCATTTTTGTCAGTTTTGTTGTTGTTGTTACTGGTATTGTTGCTTCTATGGAGGGATGCATTTTCAGATGTCCTTCCTCCATCATTTTTACTGATTTTCCTGCAATGTTTTTTTTAAAGTCTCTAAAGTCTCAATGACCATAGGCTAATTAAATATTTGTCATGGGAGATGATTAAGAAAAAAATAAATAAAAAGATAAATACTAAATAAAAAGAGAAATTATAATTCTCATAGAGTCTTTCCCAGATGGGTAGATGAAGATTGAAAAGGTATTTCTGTATTTAGTGCTCTGAAAATTAAGGTTAAATTAACAGATGTTTAACACACCCCCACTTTTTTTTTCATTCAGGTTAAACACAGGCTTTACAGTCAGAACTGAGTTCAAATTCCAGCTCTGCTTCTTACTAGCTTGATGACTTAGGACAAGTTATGTAACTTCTCTGTGCCTCAGTTTCCTCATTTGTACAATGGGGTAATATATCTATCACATAAGGTTACCGTGAGGATTGACTGTTAAATGCTGATCACAGATGCCTGGCAACCCAAAAGATATTAGTTTTGATAATTATCTTTATAATATTCTTCAAAAATACGCTAATAATTCTTGAGTAGAGTTAACCTAAAGTTAGATATTCTTTTCTTTCTTCCTGTTTCTTTTGGTCTTTTTTCCCCTATTTGTTTTAAAGAACTAAGAAAAAAAAAAAAGAAAGAAAGAAATAAGAAGACAATCTATTCCAGCATTTTGGAATAAAATTTTGTTCCCCAAAATTTATTTATTTATTTTATTGATATATAAACAAAATGTTATTTATTTATTCAGCAAATCTTTATTAAATACCTAGTAAATATTAGGCACTGTGTCAGGCACAGGAATAATAATGACAATAAAGTGTGGTCCCTGCTCTCAAGCTGCTGACAATCTAGGGGACTGACAAGTAAACAGGTGATTACATACACAGTAACAAAGGCTATGATAGAAGAATACACATGGTACTATGTGATGGGAGTATGGCTTTCACCAGTTCCTCTTGGATTTATCTCTCCTTCTTTGGCTCCAGAACCAAGTAATTAGCCCTATTTTTGTCTTTAACTGTGTAGTTTAAATCATGAAATTTTTAAAAATTTGTAGAGATGAAAGAAAAACACCTTGAATTATGGAGGACACTACAAATTGTACTTTTTTACAGAGCAAGGGCTTCCTACCAGCATAGTCACTTCTTGGGTTTTTAACCTGAAAAGTTCTTTGGCATATTTTTTCTTTGCTAGCTACTTTTTTTCTATTGTTTTGTCTGTTTTTCTTCTCCACTTTATCATCTAGAGACCTGGGTAGTTCCCAATGAAAGAGTGTTTTACAGATTCTTAGAGTGATTTATGGGTAAAGACAGAAAATGATTTTTTTTTTTTTTTTTTGCCGGGTACGGGCCTCTCACTGTTGTGGCCTCTCCCGTTGCAGAGCACAGGCTCCAGACGCGCAGGCTCAGCGGCCATGGCTCACGGGCCCAGCCGCTCCGCGGCATGTGGGATCTTCCCGGACCGGGGCACAAACCTGCGTCTCCTGCATCGGCAGGCGGACTCTCAACTACTGCACCACCAGGGAAGCCCAATGATTTTTTTTTAACCTTCAATTGCATGTCTTATCTTTGTTTCCTTTAATCTACAGTCTTTCCCTGCTATTTTTTTTCTTGGTCTTTTATGACATTGGGAGTTTTGAAGAGTCTAAGCCAGTTGTCTTGTAAATTGCCCCAGAATCTGGTTTTGTCCGTTTCCTCATTAGATTCAAAGTAAATTTTTTGGGGAAGAATACTATATAGGTGATATATTCTTCATACTTCATTACTTCAGGTGGCCCAGTGCTAAGTCTGATCACTTGACTAAGGTGGTATCTTCCATATATCTCCATTGTAGAGTTATTTTCCCCTTGGTAATTGAAAAATAATACGTGGGGTGACAGTATGGGATCAGTGAAGATCCTACTTTCAAACAACTCTTCACCCAGCTGTGCATCAATGATAATCCTTGTCTGAATCGATTATTACATTGATAGTTGCAAAATGACACTTTCCTAATTCTATCATTCCTTTTGCATTTATTAGCTGACATTATACTATAAAGAAGAGCTCCTCCCCCACTTTTCATTTTGAGTATCATTATGACTCATGTGCTTTTTAAAAAAATTAACTATGTTATACCTTATTATAATGATAATGTTATTCTTTGGAATGTTCCTTTTGTCCATATTTGACCAAAGCGACCTCTGTTATTGTTTAACCACAAGATGCTTTTTTATTACTAGAATAATTTCTAATATATTACTACTCACAAATAGGACAGGAGAAAGGGATTCCAGAAGGTGCGGCCTTATTCAGACTCTTCTTAGAAGTCTGCCTTCTTCCTGTGTACTCTCAACCCAAAGTGAGGCTTTCGGGTTGGAAGGAGATACTTCGGATTTATACTACAGATCAGTGTCAACCAATTCTAATCCCTATTCCCTTTTTTCTAGGCATTCCATATCTACTGCCATTCTAATCCTTCTGTTGGACACCTCTCTCCTCCTCTATATTTATTTACAACAGTCAAGAGCAGCAATTGTCCAACCGGCCCCTATCCAGTTCTGCAGTCCATATGCCCCAAGAACTCCTTTTTGCACAGGTCTGTGGTGGCCTTGGCCTACCTCTTCTACATACTCAAGTATCTCTTTTACCACGAATTTAATTACCTATGTTTCCATTTATAGGATCTTACCTAGCCGTATGGCCTGCTGCCTCTGCCAATTTAAAAATATTATTGAGGTTGTCTGTAAGACATTCAAGCTACGTTGTGACAGTGAATGCCTGACAGATGTCACACGTTGTGGTGAGTCTCAATTGCGGGATAATAAATTTTTAATTTAATATTTTAATTTTTAATCAATGATGATAAATTTTAAAATTCATGATATAATTGCATTATTTTAATTCATACATTCAGAGTTCCAGCTCCCTAAGTTTCTAAGAACTACCCCCTTGCTAAAAATCAGATTCTTGGTTACATTATTAAGCTAATAATAGCTCAGTTACATTGTTAGCTTAATAATGTAACTGGTCCGCATACATAAAGGAACAAGAGAAAGGAATGGATGGGGGAAGGGAATTAACATTACTGGCCTCATATCCTATGCTGTGCCCTCTGCAAATGAGCACTTATTGATATAGTGCCTCACAGTTTGTAAATGGATTTTATATAAATTAGGTCTCAAGTACCCTTTGTCTTATAGGACAAGTGTAAATATATTTTTGTTTATTTTGTTTGTTTCCGCAATTTTATAAAGAGTACAAGTGATGCTGTTTTATGTCCTATTTGGAGCCTGAGAGTTTCTGGTTCCATAACCAGAAGCTGCTACCTAGCCCTTCTAATGGAATGGAGAGCTAGTTTATTCTTTGACTGTCAAGCTCTGGACTTGCTCTGAATGTCAAGCTTTTCTATCCACAAAACACTCAGGGGCTTTCAACTATTTTTCTATATATTAGATTTATCGGCACTAAGTATTTAAAAAGCGCGGGTGCGCGTGTGCAAGCGTAGTCTGCTTGCGCCCCGAGCAGCGCACATGCGGTGACGGTGGGATGGTGCAGTTGGTACTTTTTGCGGTTACCATCGGGGGTGACAAAACCTTGCTGGTGTGGGAGCTGAGCTCTGGACCCACGGCGGAGGCCTTGCAAGTGAGACGAGCCGGAGCGGAGGGCTGGGTGGAGGAAGCCGCCCCGTGCCCCAGTAACTGGGCGGCCCGGGGTACTGCTTCAGCACCTCATCTGCCTGTGGTCTCCGCTGAGAGGAATCTTAGTTCTAGAGCCGACCTGAGCAGCTCGCCCCCATAGAGTTTTGAGAGTTAGTCCCCAACGAAAGGCATTGCCTCCTAATGCTTCTCGAAGCTTAGGATTTCAGAGGGAACTTGTTCATGAAATGAGAAGTGTTTGGAGGTGCAGCCTCACCACCATTACCTGTGGCAAAGGGCTGGGGGAATATAAGGGAATGGGCGGTTTGGTTTCCTGGGCCTGAAATTTCCTGCACTTACTTAGCGTGGGACCACCCTACAGCATTCTCTCTTCACAGTCTTCTCACAGTTTTGCGTTCTGTATTCGGTTCGAGTCTTCCCAAACGCAGCAGTGGGTGGTCTTGGGTTCTATGCCATCATCAAGTTTTATTCAGCAATGGATGCCCACAGAGCCCAAAAGGCGTGCAACCAGAAGCAGCTGTTTCACACATCTCCAGAGAAGGTGGGTCTAAATGTGGAATTCCTCACTCTACTGGGATGAAGTGCTGAATTTAAAACTAATAGGCCATCGGGAATTCCCTAGCCGTCCAGTGGTTAGGACTCTGCACTTTCACTGCTGAGGGCCCGGGTTCAATCCCTGGTCTGGAAACTAAGATCCCAGGGGGAAAAAACAAAACAAAACAGAAAAAAAAAAAAAACGGCCACTGTTTGTACAGCACTGTGGTGTACAGAATGCTCTCAGGTGCACTGCTCCACTGATCCCCCCGTTCCCCAGTTGTTTCTTTCTTTTTTTTTAGGTGAAGAACCTTGAACTCAGGACGGTTAAGTGACTTTCTTAAGGTTCATGACAGTAAATGTGGAAACTAGAGGCCAAACCATAACTTAACTGATGTTAAACCCCATGTCATTTTATGCTGACCCTTAATTTAAGAAATCTTCACAAGAATCTTCCTTATATATACATTTATGTGGATTTTAAATGTGTGAGGGTGACAAATTTTTTTTTAATTAATTAATGAATTTATTTATTTACTTTTGGCTCCGTTGGGTCTTGTTGCTGCGCGCTGGCTTTCTCTATTTGCGGCGTGCGGAGTTTGCTCTTCGTTGCGGTGCATGGGCTTCTTATCGCGACGGCTTCTCTTGTTGCGGAGCACGGGTTCTAGGCATGCGGGCTTCAGTAGTTGTGCCTCACGGGCTCTAGAGCACAGGCTCAGTAGTTGTGGCATACGGGCTTAGTTGCTCTGCGGCATGTGGCATCTTCCCGGACAAGGATCGAACCTGTGTCACCTGCATTGGCACCCAGACTCTTAACCAGTGTGCCAACAGGGAAGTCCCGAGCTTGACAAACTTTTGTCAGATGTAACATAAGGGAGGCTTCATCATCATCATCACTCTCAAACTGCCTAATCAGAACTCCCTTCAGATTCCAGAAAATGGTTAAATATTCTTTAATGCATTGTAGAAACCTTATTCCATATGAACATGCCATCCAGTTTTACTTCCCCAGAATTAACATTTCATTATGTGAAGGACCTTTTCAATTCCTCTGAATACATGAGTGAGGCTTAGGTTTCCCAGACCTTTCCCTTTATAATTGTGTGTCTTCTCTGATTAGCTTCTTGCTCTGGCTACTTCCTACTGACCTTGCTGCCTCTTCTCACCCATATTTCTTTACTCACTGATTTCACCTTTATTGAATCTGACAACTCTCCTCAGATGGGACTCCAGGTACACTACCTCCCACTTCTGTACCCTGTTTAACACCCTCTTCGATCCTGGCTGTACTCCCTGGGATTGAAATGATTTTGTGTCAGACATTCTTTAATTTGCGGACCCTACGACCATTTCACATAACCACTCAGATATTACAGATGGTCCTGGAAAGATTGTGAAACAGTTACTTGGTATCAGTTGTGAGTAATGAGTTCTTTTCTTATATTGGACATTAAGACCATTCCATAAGCGTAGGTTGTGAGATTTTCACAGCATAAAGCCTGTCACTGATAGAGTAATGAAGAAAATGTTCTCCAAGTCACTATAGAGTTGAGAGGAACGGGCATTCGTATTAGATTTCTTTATTTAATGCAGAGCTTTAGTTTACTACCCACAGCCCCGAAATTTTTCCCTACTTTACTTATGCGTTCTTTTTCAATTTTATTTATTTATTTATTTGCTTGCTTGCACCGGGTCTCAGTTGCAGCAGGTGGACTCCTTAGTTGCGGCTCAAGGGCTCGCCAGCTGTGGCATGTGGGCTCCCCAGTTGCAGCAGGCAGGCTCCTTTAGTTTTGGCTTGAAGGCTCCTTAAATGTGGCGTGCGAACTCTTAGTTGCAACATGCATGTGAGACCTGGTTCCCTGACCGGGGATCGAACCTCGGCCCCCTGCATTGGGATAACGGAATGTTAACCACTGCACCAGCACGGAAGTTCCAATTATGTGTTCTTTTATTCATTGGCAGGTATCTTCCTATCTTTTATCCCCTGTGTTTTTTATAAATACAGAAAAGAGAATAACATCTTAAAATAAAATGAAGGAAAGGCCTAATGTATCTGAATTTTTCTCAGTAGCATGAAGGGAAAGGTTTGCCAGCAAGAACTGTGGCAAGGTTATCCCAGATGTCAACTGTCTCTACTACCCAGGGGCTCAGAGCCCTTCTGAAGCTTCCTAATTGTCCAGGACAACTCCATTATGACTCACCACACAGGACCTAGCCTCCCATGCGACACTCAATATTTAAAAATTAGTCTTCATTTCTCCTTCCCAGCAGGCAGCTTCAGTTGGAGAAAGTAATTTCATTTTCTTATGTACTCATTCCTTCACTCAGTCAACAGACCATCACTCCTCTATTGTATGCCAAGATCTATGCTTGTTTCTGGTAACAAGGAAAGAATAATATATGGTTCCTTCAGGCACTTAAGGAGCTCATAAAACTAGTGACAGAGGAAGATGCACAAACAAATCAATAAAGAATTAACAATGCTTTGATTTTATTTGTATTATTTGAATTTTTATGACTAAATTTATATACTACACCCTGTTCAAAATGGAAATAGACGTTTAAGAAAGAAGTAGTGATGTAAAAAGTCCACAGTAATATGTAAGTTCTTTAGAGAGTTAAGACTGGATATATTTGCACTCTCAAAGAAGCTTGTTAATGCAGATGAATCTCTAATTCTTTTGGTTGCTTTATTTACATTTATAGAGGTATACATATTCCCTGTTCTAACAGGGGTTAGTAACTTGGGGAGGGGGTGCTACAGATTAACGTCCTAATTCAGTGGCAGGTCCATCTTGTCTCCTCTTCAGGTCATATTCTCAAGCAGGAGCTACAGGATGAAATGAGTAAAACAGTCCATTCTTTTGCTTACCCTCAGCCCCATAATAGGCTTCTGCTGGGCCTCCTTGGATGCTTTCGTCATCACTTTCACCACCGGAGGCCAGAGAACCTTCTGGTTAATTAGGGGCCCTGGAAATGATGCAGAAAAGTACTGACTTAAAAATAATAAATAACATTTATTTAGGGCTCACTGTGAACTCATTGCTTAAAATGTCCTACTTAATCTTCACAAACACTCTATGAAATTGGTATTGATAAATCTCAGGTATACCCAAAATAAGTCTCTATGTAGCGTTGTGATATTTTTAGGCCTTTTATGTCTTTAGGTTCGTCTCGGCACCAGAGAGAAGGCGGTTCATCATAATACGCTTGCCCTAAACAGCTTCAGATGTCAAGAATTGGCAAATTAATACTTTGGTTTCCATGGGTGGTCAAAAGGATCATCAAGGTGAACTCTGTAGATTTTCTTTGACTAATCAGACTCTTTTCAACATTGAACTCCTAGACTTTAGAGAGAAGAATAGAACAGGGCTATGGGGAGGAGATGTGGGAGGCTTCCACATAGAAGTATCTGAGCATTGGCCTGCCACCTAGAATTAGTGATAATCTCAATGACTTGGATGGTGGTGTCCATAATTTTCTCTAGTATTTTTATGGTATATAATAAAAAATAGTTGTCCATATCTAGTCATTCATTTGCAAGTTCCACTTGATTTTGAAGCTATAGCATACCTAAACTATTACCTGGGATTGCTGGAGTTTAGTTTTTATTTCTAACAACAGAATATTTTGAAGTCTAGCCTTTAATTCAAAATCCTAACAGCTTCAGGATCTTTCTAACCTTGAAGAAAGGGAAAATACAGATATTGTGACACCACTTCAGAAGCAAAGCCTGAAGCTCTTCTGTGCTTTAGAGGTGGTGTTGACCTCGCACGAGTGCAGGAGTCCCAGAGTTGACATGGTTGAGGAAAGTTTGGATAAGTTGGAGGAAGGTCTGTTTTCCAGTATGTGTGTGTGTGGGGAGGTGAGGGAGTGGGATTTCTCTTTTTTCCTTTCTTTCTGAAACTCAGCTTTTCAGATTCATCATCACCTTTGCTAAGCAAGTAAAGCCCTGGGCAGAATTTTTCTGCCCGACAATATAGGTTTTTATCTTAGGCAATACCTGACAGCACCTTAAACTTTAGAATTTTAGAACTGACTGCCTGCCAAGAAGCTTAGGAGGAGGGAAAATTAGTTATTATTAGTATTTTTTTGGTTAATAATTTGTTTTGTGCTAAAATAGTCCTTCAAATACACATGTCTTCCTGCTTTCAGTTATCCCAACAAAATCATTGTCTGAAGATTGAAATAAACTCATGTGTAAAAGTTCAGTCCTTTGCCTCTTATAGAATGGCCTCAGCGGAAAAAGTAAATGTAGATCCCTAGAAAGGGGATTCCGATTGATACTGAGTTTTTTCCTAGAATCCATGGTGGCACTTGGGCTTAGGGTTTTAAGTCAGAGGCAGGGCTGTTAGCGAATGGGGTGGAGGAGGCTCCACCATTCTCCTGAGTGGGTGATGGTTGAGGAGAGTCCAGATCATCTGCACTACAACCAAATGTATCTCACTGTATGAATCCAGCCCTTTACGCACACGAGAGCAGGGTCTGTAGCAGTGTAGCCTCAGCTTGTCCATTTGAAATCTGTGAGTAATATGAGATTTGTGCCACGTTTTTGGTTTGCATTTCCCGTCTAGTATTTTAGGAACTTCCAGAATAGATCTGAGCAGTAAAATGTGCCATTCCAGGGTATACCTACAACAGAGACATTCACCCGTACCCCAGTGTTGTGCCTGCCCTTAATCACTAAGGTTATGATCTAAGAATCACAGATGCATTTTTAGTTTTAAACATACTACCTAGAAATCAGTTATTCATATAGGCATTTTAAATTCATCTGTTTTGGTTGGATTTAGGGTCATTATCATTCCTTATGGGAAGGAAGGTAACCCAGAAGCTTGTTATTCAGAAAGCTATGACAGATGCATCCAGAAACTGCTGATTGTGGTTTTAGGTAAGACCTTTTTGATTGTCCTTAAAGTGCTTCAGTTTCAGTGAGGAAATAAACTTATTTGAAAAGTTAATTGGATGAAAATATTGGTTATCTACAACATTACATATTCTTTCATTCACCAGATGCTTTCACAGCAACGGTCTTAAATTTGTTCTTTGTGTCATTTATGAGAAGAACGACAGCAAATATTATTGTCCCCAGTGTTTAGATATAGAATCACTTGCCTCAGTTCATACAGAAAGTGTTTGATCCACTTCTTCCTCAATTGCTTGCTTATCATACAGAATAGTGTAGTCATTATAAGCCTTGGACACCTGTGTTTGAGGCCTAACTTTGTCTCTTAGATTTTGTTGTTTTTGTTGTTGCAATTTTAGGTTTTTCTAGCCAGAGACATTTAAAGGTATTTAATATCTCTAAGCTGCAATTTCTTTATCTGCATATAGGGTTAGTAATTGAGCTTACCACCAAATGGGGGATATTGTAAGAGTAAATGAGATGATGAATCTAAAAAGCTTAGAACTATGCCTGAAACATAGTAAGCAGACAAAACATATTGACTATTATTATTACTGCTGTTTTCTTGTTGAAGAGTTTATTAGACTATGTTTTTGGAATCAGTTTAATTTCAGTTTTCATTTCTGATATATTGGGTGAGTATGATTCTTATATAATAATCGGCTACGTTTTTGTGAGCCTTGAAACTGGTCATGCTACTGAATAGCGTTGATTGTGTTCCCTATCGAGTTATACAGCGGTGAGAATGTCACAGGCTGTGCCCAAAGGAAACTTTATGATTAGTAGATTCCCGGAACAGAATTGCTCCCCTGCTTCACATCCCTGCAGGCTTAGAGACTGAGAAATCCTAGCTAAGTTGTCCGAGACCTTATTTGCTTGTAAGAGTTGACCCTGGATTGGTCTTGGCCTTCCAGCCTGGGTAGTCCTTCCAGTGAAGTTTGACTTCCCTGGTCATCAGGCACAATCTCCATCCGCTGTCAACTCTGGGTAACAACCTTTAAGAACCAAACTAATGACTGGGTTGTTTGTGCCTAATATGCCAAGGTACTCCTTATATGTACCCGAAACTCCTTAGACCAAAAAGCCTGGTGTCTCTAGCTTTCCTTGAGGAAAGCTGTATTGTCCAGATGGTACATGGGCCAGTTTCTACCAGTAGAGTCTTCAAATACTCTCTATCTCTGTCTCTGTCTCCAAAGCTTTGTTCATTGTATCTGGTAGAATTTTGGTCCCAAGGAGTAGGCACTTGCCTTGCTTCTAATAGGAAGTATCTATTACAGTCCAGTGGTATCTCTCCCAGGTTTGAACTCATTTTGATCCCTACCTAATGCCTTCCTATTTAATTGTATTGTGATTGAATATTTTTGTTTCCACAGCTTTTAATTTCTATGTCCTTGTTCCTTAGTTATTATTTCTAAGATCATAAAGTTTTTGAACCAAAGTTGACACTTCTTATATATGTTTTCACAAATATAATAAAAACTGAAGTGTCAGATGAGGGAACTTCTAGGAAAATGCTCTTATTTTCTGCTTTTAGAAATCAAAAGCATGTCTAATTATTGGGTGCTACCATTGTATAAAGGAAGTTTTAGAACAAAAAAACTTCTGAATTGATCCTTGTTAACTTTATTTCAGAAAGTGGTAAAACAGGTGTGGCATATAGACCCTGTGAAGAGGTCACAGATGCTGGAACCGAAGAGGAACTACAGGATTTATTTCACGTATGTGGAGATAAAAGCTCAAGGGGTACACAGCCAGTGGAGCCATAATTCAAAACAACCAGCAGGATTTGGAAGACTTCAGCATATCTATTCAGTTCTGTCTTCCTTAGGGAAAGGTGAAACTCTGAAACTGCTTTTGAGGCAGGGAATTTCTAGGACTTTTCCAAGTCCAGCGCCTTGTCTCTGGCCTCTTACTTGAAGTTTGGAGAGCAGGATTGAGGGCCACCAGTGTACGTCTATGGTTGTGGACACAGGAGAAGACACAGGACGTTTAGAAATCCCCTCAAATAGAATTGCAGGGATTTGGAAACAAAGTAACTATGGTCTTAAGTGTGATTATGCTACACTATTTAAAAACTATTCATGCCTTTCAAGTAAGGTATATTACCCAGATCTCAGCATCTCATATATATCTTGTGTTAAATATTTTGCCAAAGAACCTTTCTGTAAACCAGTTATATGGATATCTCGAATTAGGGCTTAAGTTGTCAACGTAATTTCTGAAAGAAACCATTAACGTACTGCATATAGGATTTTTATTTAAAAGGAGCAAAATATGTGTTTCATGTCATTGAGAGCTAATTTTTGGTTAGATTTCTGATTACTTAACTCACCCCAATGTTTGTTTGGAAGGGAAGACAGTAGAGAAAGAAAAGGTGGTTATGTTTTGAAAAATGGAAAAATTTTGAAAGTTTTTTCCTGTACAAAATAAGTATTTTAATTCAATTTAAATCAGTCAAGGAAACTTGAAATGTATCCATGTTTGGGCTTTAAGAAGTCTAGTTTCCTATGAAATGTGAGAGGAAAGGGTTCCGTATTGATACTAAAGATTTTGGAAACCTGATTATAACAACAGATCCACTCCTAAATGAGGCCAATCTTGGAATCAGTTCCATTTAGAAACCATTATGTGATAGGCACTGGAAATAAGGTGAAGCTCCTTCTCTCTTGGAGTTTAGGTGTTAAAGGTGTACCAGACAATTAAAAAGGAGTAAAATTAAATAGATTATGAAAAGGACTGTGAAGAAATTAAACTGTGTGGTAGTTCCAGTATTTCAAGAAAATTACTTAACATGCTGACTTTAACATTCTAAGTGTCTTCTCCATGTGTGCACACAGGGTAGACCTCTGAAAAGTGACACTGTGGTTTTTTCTAGATTAATGGCGCTGTTGAGACAAGGTGGGATGGGGGAAGTTTTCCCATGCTAATGTAAAGGGCCATTCACGTGATTTTAGACTCTCTTTCCCAGAATGAATTGCTCACCTGCCCCAAAGCCCTTCTACAGAAGTTCTGGAGTCATCCCTGATTCAGTAGTGACCCCTAAAAACAGAGTGGGGAATGAATAATGAGACGTGAATACTGAGAGTTTGCAGGAAATGGCAACAATTTCAAATAATTATAAGGTGTGTTCCCCTCCCACCACCCTTACTGGTTCTCATTTTGCAGGTCAGCTACTTTTCTTGTCAGCCCTGTGGCCAAAGGGAGCAAGAATGTGTCTCAGACTTCAGCTTGAGGAGGAAGAGTTCAGATTGCCAGAACTGGACTAGCACTTTTGAATTTCCCAGAATGCCAGGTCCTGTGGTTTCCTCGGGAAGGTCTGAATCCTTCCCACCCCCGCTGCACCCCTGGGATGCTGGAGTTTGGGGCCACTCGGTTCTGCAGCCCAAATCTTGCCTCATTGTTTGGGGCCAGGGAGTGCAGGGCGGGGCTGGGAAGAGGGCCCGGCAGGAGGTAATTGTCGCCTTTGCAAGGGGAAGGATGGCTTGCGCCCTGGGGAATCTGGGAAAAAGTTCCACTGTGGTGGCGTGGATTGGATCTCCGCACGAGCCTAATAACGGTGGCATAACTAAAGACGTCATAAATAACGGGTGGGACGTTAGGCGGGGGCGGGGCGCGCGGTTGCTAACGTGAGTTGTCACGTAGGCGCTGGCATAGCGGTTCAGCTCGGACGCAGGATGTGGCTCCAGCTCCTCACTGGCCTGGATCACTGCCCCTGGAGCCGCCGCATGTTATGTCCGGGCTGTGCCATTGGTTGCCACGGCTCTTCCTCACATGGCAAGGACGGTGGCTTCTAGTCCAGGCAGTTCAGCCTCCGGAGTGGGCCCTGGGCCCCGTGCAGGTGACCCCCAACCCCCCACGGCTGACAGAGGCTTGGTCTTCACAAGCCTCAGAACCCGTCCCAAATTGTCCCATGCTCTTACACCCCTGGCAGAAGCCATGGGCTTTAACTACTTATCGTCGATGTCTCCAGTGCAGATGTTGGCCCCGCCTCATCAGGAGTTGACTGAGACTGAGGTTCCATACCCGGACACGGATTCGGTTGGAGAGCTGCCTACAGGGCCAGATCAGTTTGCTGTTCCACATCAGGATCTGAATAACAAGCAAACCCAACATCAAAAGCTCCCAGAGGCAGTTCCAGTGCTCGACTGGGATCAGAATCAGTCCTTGGTTCTCCCTTCTCGACACAAAAGTAAGACTAAACACATAGCTATAGATGAGGCTGATGGTCACCAATCATTTGAAATACTTCTTCCACCTCTATGTAGTAAGAGCTCAAAACCAATGAAGTTTATTGGTTCACCCACAAACCTGAAGAAAGATCTAGTTCAGCATCAACAGCTTGCCAAAGTTGTTGTTGGAACTACAGGCCAATTTCAAAAAAAACACTCAGGGTCTAGAACAACAGTTTCAGGATGATTATTTAGATCCCAGTGTGGATGCCATTTAACCTGAGGAGAGCCTACCTAGGGATTTTTTCGGGAGCCCAGATAAAACTATGGAGCCCCCAGAGGAAGCTGAAATTTCTCCATCCCAGCAGGAGGCCAAAATCCTCATCCAGAGCTCACTGAGGAGGCTCAATCTTTACCCCAGCACGAGCCTCCTGCTCAGCATCCACAAACCCCTGAGGAGGTTGAATCTTTTCCAATCTTTCAATCTTTTGAAGTTCTGCTGCTTTTTGTACTTTAAAGGAGATTCCAATCTACCTCTTGAAACCTGTTTCCTGCAATTCTGCCTTGGTTTCAAATCCTCTTCTTTGCCTTACCTCAATATATTTTTCGACGAAAGTTGTCCTTTATAACTCTGCAGGTTTGTGAATTGCAGTGCCCCTGAGCTCCATTTTTCAACTCGCTTTTTTTGAGAGCTGCCGGGAAACCGCAGGATTGCTTCAGGCCCTATTCTGGTTCCCGGGCGGCAGGCTGAGCCGTTGGTTAATTCTTCCTCCTGATTGGAAATTAGAGTAACATGTTCCCGTCCAAACACCTACAGCTATTCTCTCATTGGTTTCCCCTCATCCCGTTCACCCTCCGCACTAATTGCAGACTGTGGGAAACAGGAGGTTAAAGGTGCTGACTTTCCAAATGGGGAGATTGTTAGTAAAGCGGCTGGAATGGCGAACCCGAGCACCAGGAGAGGAAAAATGAGGTGCGTCTTAGAAACCTTTCGCAGTCACACGCTGTACCATCCCTCTGGGTTTCCCATGCATGTTTTAACTGTAGGAAGATTCCCTTAAACCTGGACAGCTGGGACCCATGGAATGGGTAGCACGCAGTGTTGCTTTAAAAGGTCTGCATTTGCTCAGCCAGCCTCACCAATCCTCTCAGCCCAAAGTGTCCAGCTTTATGTCTTATCCAGATGTGGGTGTAGATAAGGTCAATTCAGCGTGCATCACAGACCCTGAACGAATTTTGTAGGAAGTTCTCTGTCTTTCACTCTCTTTGTGTTTTTTTGTTTTTTGAAATTTATATTTATAATGGGGTTTAGCTGATTTTCACTGCAGTGTTTATGCCTCTCTACACACACTTGATTCCCTTACGGAGACATATCAATACATAGGTTTTAAGATTCTTTCTAGTCACATATATTCCTCTGCGGTGCATAGGGGGTGTTGAGTCCAGTTCATTGAGCAAAGAGTAGGTCTTATCTATTACATATTTGGTTTATGGAACGGTATCTGTGCTAACTTCAAACTCTGGTTGTATGCATTCCCCCACCTCACCTTTCCCCGTAAGCAGGCATAAGTGTGTTTTCTAAATGTGTGACTCTGTTCTGTTTTGTAATTCAGTTCATGTGTAGCCATGTTTACATTCCCTAAGTGATATCTTATGATAAGTTTCTTTTTCTGTGTGACTTCTTTCACTTAGAATCATCGTACCTAAATCCACTCATTATTCTGCTACTTGCCTTATGACATTGATTTCATGGCTCAGTGATATTCCGTTGTACATAAGTACCACAAATTCTTTAACCATTTTTCTCTTTCCTGGGACCTTTAAGGTGTACCGAAGTCGAGGTTCTTGTAAACAGAGCAGCCCTATACTTTGGGGTGGCTCTGTGTTGTTGATTTTTAGGTTTCCCACGATATACACCCATGAGTGGAAGTACCCTATGCTCTGTAGCTCTGTTTTTTAGATATTTTAGGAAATACCATACACTTCTCCAGAGTGGCTTTTGGCAATTTCGATCCCTCCCATCAGCATAACAAAGGTCCCTGTTCTCCAAGGCCTGTCCTGCCTTTCTGGTTTTTACACTTTTTTTCAGATGGCCCTTTTGACCGGTGGAAAGTGAGACTTCTTTGTTGTGCGAATTTGCATTGCCCGCTTGCTTGGTTGGCCAAAAAGGGCAAATGCGTTTTTTCCTGAATATATTCAGGAAAAAACGCATACGCCCTTTTTGGCCAACTGCATCATTGTCAAAGTTCTGCCTCTTTTCGTGTGCTTTAAAGGCGACTCCAATCTACCTCTTGAAATCTGTTTCATGCAATTCTGCCTTGGTTTCAAATCCTCTTCTTTGCCTTACCTCAATATATTTTTGGACGATAGTTGTCCTTTATAACTCTGCAGGTTTGTGAATTGCAGTGCCCCTGAGCTCCATTTTTCAACTCGCTTTTTTGTGAGCTGGCCACAAAACCGCAGGATTGCTACAGGCCCTATTCTGGTTCCGGGGTGGCAGGCTGAGCCTTTGGTTAATTCTTCTTCATGATGGGAAATTAGCATGACATGTGCCTGTCCAAACACCTACAGCTAGTCTCTCAGTCGTTCCCTCTCTTCCCGTTCATCCTCTGTACACATTCCAAACTGTGCGAAACAGGAGGTTAAAGGTGCTGATTCTCCAAGTGGGGAGAGTGTTAGTATAGTGGCTGGAATGGTGAACCCGAGCACCAGGCGACGAAAAACGCGGTGCATATTAGAAACCTTTCCTGATCACACGGTGGACCATCCTCTGAGTTTCCCATGCATGTTTTAGCTGTAGAAAGATTCCCTTGAACCTGGAGATTTGGGACCCATGGAATGGGTATCACGCAGTATTACTTTAATGGGTTGGCATTTGCTCACCCAACCTCACCAATCCTCTCAGACCCAAGAGTTTCCAACTTTATGTGTCTTGCAGCTGTGGGTGTAGATGTGGTCAATCCAGGTTGCATCACCACCCCTGAACGAATTTTGTACGAGTTTCTCTCTATTTCACCATGTTTCTTTTTTTTTTGGTAATTTATGTTTATAATGGGGTTTAGCTGACTTTTGATGCTGTGTTTATGCCGCTTCACGCCCACTTGATACACTTAACAGAGAGATATCAATAAATACTTTTAAGATTCTTACTACACATATATATTATTCTGTGGCAAATAGGGGGTGTTGAGTCCAGTTCATTGAGCAATGAGTAGGTGTTGCCTATTACATATTTGGTTGATGGCATGGTATCTGTGCTAATTTCAAACTCTAGTTTTATGCATCACCCCACCTCACCTTTCCCCTTAAGCAGCCATAAGTGTGATTTCTAAATGTGTGATTCTGTTCTGTTTTGTAATTCAGTTCATGTGTAGCCATGTTTACATTCCCTTGTATAAGTGATATCTTATGACAAGTTTCTTTTTCTGTGTGACTTATTTCACTTAGAATCATCACCTAAATCCACACATTATGCGGCTACTGGCCTGATGACATTGATTTCCTCGCTGAGTGATATTCCATTGTACGTGAGTACCGCAACTTGTTTATCCATTTTTCTCTTTCGTGGGATATTGAAGTTGTACCCTAGTCGAAATTCTTGTAAACAGAGCAGCCCTAGACTTTGGGGCGCCTGTGTCCTGTCGATTTTTGGTTTTCCCAAGGTATACGCCCATGTTGGAAGTACCCTATGCTCTGTAGCTCTGTTTTTTAGATGTTTTAGGAAACACCATACACTTTTTCAGAGTGGTTATTGGCAATTTACATACGGCCTATCGGCGTAACACGGCTTCCTTTTCTCCATGGCTTGTCCTGCATTTGTGGTTTTTACACATTTTCTGGAAGGCCCTTTTGAGTGATGCGTAGTGAGACTTCTTTGTAATGCGGATTTGCATTTCCTGCTTGTTTGCTTTGCCAAAAAGGGCTGTATGCGTTTTTTCCTGAATATATTTAAGAAAAAACTCATATGCCCTTTTTGGCCAACTGCATCATTGTCGAAGGTCTGCCGCTTTTCGTGTGCTTTAAAGGCGACTCCCATCTACCTCCTGAGAACTGCTTCCTGCAATTCTTCCTTCCTTTCAAATCCTCTTCGTTGCCTTACCTCAAGATATTTTTGGAGTATAGTTATCACTTATAACCCTGCTGGTTCGTGAATTGCAGTGCTCCTGAGCTCCATTTCTCAACTCGCTTTTTTTGAGAGCTGGCCACAAAATCGCAGGATTGCTTCAGGCCCTCTTCTGTTTCCGGGGCGGCAGGCTGAGTCTTTGGTTAATTCTGCTTCCTGATTGGAAATTAGAGTGACATTGCCTGTCCAAACACGTAGATCTAGTCTCTCATTAGTTCCCTCTCTTCCCGTTCATTGTCCAGAGAATTTGCAGACTGTACGAAACAGGAGTTTAAAGGTGCTGCTTCTCCAAGTGGGGAGATTGTCAGTAAAGCGGCTGGAATGGCGAACCCGAGCACCAGCAGATGAAAAATGAGGTGCGTTTTAGAAACCTTTTCCGCTCACACTGTGTACAGTCCTCTGGGTTTCCCATGCATGTTTTAGCTGTATTAAGATTCCCTTGAGCCTGTAGATTTGGGACCCATGAAATGGGTACCAGGCAGTATTACTTTAAAGGGTCTCCATTTGCTCACCCAACCTCACTAATCCTCTTAGCCCGAACAGTTTCCAGCCTTATGTCTCATCCTGCTGCGGGTCTAGATGTGTTCAATCCATGTTGCATCACAGCCCTTGAGCAAAAGTTGTAAGAATTTTTCTCTCTCTCACTGTCTTTTATTTTTCTTTTTAATTTATTATTATATTGGTTACAGCTGATTTTCAGTGCTCTGTTTCTGCTGCTGTATTTCCACTTGATTGACGTACAGAGAGACATCAATAAATTCTTCTTCAGATTCTTACCAGTCGTATATATTCTTTTTCGGTGACTTGAGTGTGCTGAGCACCATTCTTTGAGGTACCATGTAGGCCTTTTCGATTATCAGTTTGGTATTTGGAACGGTATCTTTGCTAATTTCAACCTCCTGGATAATGCCTCACCCCTCCCCACCTTTCCCCTTTAGCAGCCTTGTTTTCTACATATTTCACTATGTTTCTGTTTTGTAATTTATTTCATGTGTAGCCATTTTTGATTCCACCTTTAAGTGATATGATATGTGTCTTTTTTTTTCTTACTTATGTCACTTAGAATGATCATACGTAACTCCTCCCGAGTTGTTGCAACTGGCTTTATTTCATTGATTTCCTGACGGAGTAATATTCCACTCTACATAAGTGCCACATCTCTTTTATCCATTTTTTTCCTTCCAGGGACATTTAGGTTGTATCCAAGTTGAGTCTCCTTTAAACAGAGAGGCAGTAAATGTTGGGGTGCCTGTGTTCTGTCGATTTTTCTTTTTCCCAAGATATATGCCCATGAGTGCAAGTGCCCTATGCTCTGTAGCTCATTTTTTAGATGCTTTAGTAAACACAATACACTTCTCCAGAGTGGCCGTTGGCAATTTACATTTCCACTATCAGCCTCACAGGGCTCCCTTTTCTCCTCGCCCTGTCCTGCATTTCTGGTGTTTACACTTTATGAGGACGGCTCTTCTGACTGATGCGAAGTGATACACTTTGTAGTATTGATTTCCAGTGCCCACCTGCTTGGTTGGCTAAAAAGGGCATATGCGCTTTTCTTGAATATATTCAGAAAAAACCCATACGCCCTTTTTGGCCAACTGCATCGTTGGCGATGTTCAGCCCCTTTTCTTGTGCTTTAATGGCGAGTCCTTTCTACCTCTTCAAATCCCTTTCCTGCCATCCTCCCTTGCTTACAAGTCCTTTTCGGTGACTTACCTCAAGACATTTTTCGACGATAGATATTTTCAGCTCTTCAGTTTCGTGAATTTTAGTGCCCCTGAGTTCCATTTTTCAACTTGTGTTTTTGTGAACTGACCACAAAACAGTGGGATTTTTCTCAAGCCCTATTCTGTTTCCGTGGGTAATCTTAGCCTTTGGTCAATCCGTCTTCCTGATTGGAAATTAGATTGACATGTGCCTGTCCGAACACCTAGGACTTGTGTCTCATTGTTTCTTCTCCTTCCGCTTCATCCTCTGGACAGATTCCAAACTGTGCGCAGCAGGATGTTGACGGTGCTGACATCCCCAAGTGGGGAGATTGTTAGGAAGGACGCTGGCGGGGTGAACCCGAGCACCAAGAGATGAGGAGATGAGATGCCTTTTCCAAACTCTTCCCGATCAAACGGTGTACCATCTTCTGGGTGTGACAGGCATGTTTTAGCAGTAGGAAATGTCCTGTGCATGTAAGGAGAACACCAGGGATTTTTCCATATCAGTGTCTCCCCGAACCCCAAACTGGGGAATTTTTAAGCTACGGCTCCACGTATGTTCATTAAGGGCCTTGGGAAGTAGGCAGAGTCCGAACTTTAGATGATTGAAGTGTTCAGGGTCAGAAGCGCTTCACCATCGGCCTCCCGTTAGGTTACATTTTATCTGTCATTGATAGATGATGTCAATAAAAATATCTATTCTTTTTCAGATTATTTCCCCTTATAGGTTATTACAAAATATTGAGTGTAATTCCCTGTGCTATAAGTAGTTCCTTGTTGATAATCTATTTTATACATAGCAGTGTGTATATGTTAATCCCAAACTGTTAATTTCTCCCTCCTCCCACCTTTCCCCTTTGGTAATAATAAATTATAAGATTTTATACTTCTCAGAAATGGGGGAGCTGAAAGAGAGGTAGCATTTTCAATGGAAAAGCATTCTAAGCAAGATTGAAGCTTTAGCCAAGATTATTAGATGTACATCCTTGGAAAGAAATCACTTCATTTCTCTAATGTTGACCTGACAAATAAGACAAACCTCTTCACTGAACTTGCTTATAATAAAGTGATGGAAATATCAAATGGAAGTGTTAGAAACGTCTTATTTTACCCAAGCCTTATACACTGCTCTATGTTAATTACAATTTGGCTCACACATCTGTTCATTGAAGTTACAATGCTCTCAATTTTGGTTACTGATCCTCCAGAGTGGGCCCCAACAAGGGTCCCCCTGCCCAGTGTCATTGGAGAAAACAGATCGAGACTGAGTTTGGTTCAGAAGCAAAGGAAACTTTATATTTTGATCAGAGAATGGAGAGGTGAGAGCGAGAGCACCCCCACGGGCTGTGGGTCGGGCTGCTGTGTAGAGGCTGCTGTGTAGGGATCCCGGCAGCGTCAGTGGGAGGGAGGGGGCGGAGCTCTCGAGGGCCGGTTGGCTGCAGCTCAGGCTCTATGTCGCGGAGTCTGCACGGGGCCCCGCGAGCTGAGGTGTCGACCCAGCCATTCTACACTAGGAAATCGTGTCTGAAGTGCCGGATGTGGGACCTCTGCATGCGGAACCCTAGAAGCACGTGAAATTAGACAAAGCACAAAGGAAAAATAGGTTAGACTTTATTTTATTGCCCAGATTCTATTTTTATCTCCCAGGAAGTTTTCATGGGCTTTGCCGGTAACAAACCCCTCCTCTGCCTTTTGTCCCATTCCTCATTCTTGGGGCACTGAGGGTGCAGAGCCCTCTTCTGTAACTGCTTCATGCCGAGTTGGGAGTCCTCATACCCGGGGGGCGGGGAGGGGCAGAACTTCTCCCCAGCAGCCTCCAGGTGACGTTGATTGTCCCCAGGCCTCCTGCCTCACTGCTCGTCACCTGAGCACCAGCATTGGAAGCGTTATACATTCTAATGACCTTTAAGGGTCCAGGAAAGAGATGCGCAGAGACGCTGGGGCGGGGGGCGGTTTTACCCCGCTCCACATTTGTTCGGCCATCTTAGGCTGACGGTTTCTGCCAGCCTAGATGCTCTGACCAGTAGTCTGCGCTTTCTTCAATTAGGCCCCTGAATTAATGTACAAACAGCACCAGGTGTCAGAGCCCTGCCCGCTCAACTCCCAGACAGTCCAGGGTGGGTGGTGATCCAGGACCATGACGGCCACTGAGTCAACGGCCTTTTGAAGTAAACAGGAGTCCAGCCGGTCTTATTGGCCGCCGTCACCACGGTGTCTGTAGGCTTTTCTATGGTGACAGCGTGATATACGGTTCCCCCGCCAAGCTTATTAGCTCCCCTCTGGGTGCAGTAAGTCCTGCAAGCAGTAGTCTGCTCCTTTGGGGCACACTCTTGTTGTTTTCTGAGAGAAGCTCCAGGTCACGTGATGGTCACACGAGTCGTCATGGGGGCCCGTTGCCCCCGGTCGTCTCTCTGGAGGTTGGAGTTGGAGGGCCTCCTCAACCGAGGTTAGCGTGCCCACGAAGCGACCCCTGCAACTTCAGGGCATGGTGGGTGGTTAGTATCACCACGTGGGGTCCTTTTCCCTTAGGAGGGAGCTGGCCTTGCGGGCTGCTGATTTCCAGGTTCTTAGATACCCCCAGTACCCTGGCCGGATGGGGCGGTTGGCCAATCCCTTGGTGACCGTAGTTTATCCTACCTGGAGGGCATTCTTGCATTGTTCCATTTCAAGTGGTCCCAGTTTTTGCACTAATACTCCAAGGGCGATTCACCTTCTATGGGGATGTAAAGGTCAAAGGGTTTAGCTAAATTAGGGGGTTCCAGGGCAAGGGTCTGAATTGACTGCTCTTTGCATTCTTGAAAGGCTGCTTCTGGATTCTATTCGAAAGGATCACCATCTTTTTCTTTCAGTGTTTCATATAGAGGCCCAGCTATTAGACTGTAGTTAGGGATCCAGATGCAGCAAACCCCGGCCTCCCCAGGAACCCCTAAGTTGTCTTCAAGTTTTAGAAGGGGTAAGGCTGCAAATGGGTTCTTCCCTTTCCTGGGATGGGCTTCTCCAACCTTCTGTGAGAATGAAGCCCAGGGAGGTCACCTTAGTCTGTGATATTTGAGCCTTTCTCTTGGACACGTTCTATCCTTTATTGGCTAGGTAGTTCAGAGGCCTCCCTAGTAGGGCTGGAGATCAGAATGTCGTTTGCATATTGAAGGAGCATTCCCTTTTCCAGAGGTAGAACTTTTAGGTCTTTAGCTAACGTTTCCCAAAGATGGTGTGGGAATTTTTGAACCCTTGGGGCAGGACGTCCCAGCAGTATTGTTTTTGTTGTATGTTGAGTCCTGCTACTCACAAGCCCAAATTTCTTGTGACTCTGGGACTAATGGAATACAGAAGAAGGCATCATTGAAGTCTAATACAGAATACCATGTCCTGGTGGATGGTAGAATGACAAGCAGGGTGTAGGAATTAGGAACTACTGGATGTATATCCCCGGTGGCTTCACTAACTGTCCTGACATCCTTTACCAGGTCCCCAGCAGCCCACGGGGCTCTCGTGGTCAGGCCCCTCCCAAGATATGGAGCTCACCTGGGCAGGTCCCCAGCAGCCAACGGGGCTCTCGTGGTCCGGACCCTCCCAGGATATGGAGCTCACCTGTGTAGCTACCCAGCAGCCCCTGTGGCTCTTGTGGTCAGGCCCCTCCCAGGATATGGAGCTCACC